TAAAATAATACGACGCGGAGGTGGAAAAAAAATAGAAAAAAAAAAAAAAAAAAAAAAAAATATCATGGAAGTCTGGGGTATGTAACCATATGTTTTAATGCTTTCTAATGAACACCGCCCTAGCACACAACAAACTCTCAAACAGTACCTGTCCTACCCTATTATAACGCCAAGCTGATATTTTTTCTATACAGAAAACCTGGCGCAACCTCCCGCTGACTAAACTCTATTTGTCGCATTTTCAAAATCATGGAGCCAGGCGAGCCTGTTCAGTGTCAGTTCTCAGTCCCCCTCTACCCCCAGAGGGTTGAGAGTGTTCGTCACAGAGTGGATGGGCTCGCTGATGTGGGAGGTGCCAGGCTGGCCAAGGCACGTGTCAGTGGGGCCCCCCACTCCTGATTGCCCCACTGGTCGCCCCGCAGATCAGCCCTGATTGCCGGCCAGGCCCAGGGACCCTACCCGTGCATGAATTTCGTGCACCGGGCCTCTAGTTGAGTCATAAGTATAAATAGTAGGACTTTTTAATTTTTATTTTTCTTTACCATAAATTTAATTCTAGGTGTCAAATCCAATACACATGTAACAAATATAACATTTTAGAATTACATTTCATGGATTGGCAAATTTTTCAGCTACTTTTCTCTCTTTTTTTAATAGCTTAATAAGCAACAATTGCAGTTACTGAAAGAACGATTCCAGGCCTTCCTCAACGGGGAAACCCAGATCGTAGCTGATGAAGCATTTTTCAATGCTGTCCGGAGTTACTATGAGGTAAGTGGGAAGAGGTCTTTGTTTTTGACATTCTAATATTTTATTATTATTTATTTTACACTTATTTTATTTTTAAATGTCATTGATTGTAGAGAGGAAGGGAGAGGGGGAGAAAGAAAAACATCATTGTGAGAGTGAAACTGATGGGTTGCCTCCTGCATGTACCCCAACCGGGGATCGAACCTGCAACCTAGGTTTGCGCCCTGACCAGAATCGAATGCCTTGTGACCTTCCAAGGTACAGGACGGTGCTCCTACTAACTGAGACACACTGGCTAGGGCCTGATGCTTTATTCAAGATTTTTAAAAATGGATTTCCCACTTTAAGAAACTCACTGGAATAATAATAAAAAAAAAGGAATGAGTTTGCAACTTTTCTGAAATCATTGTCAACTCTATTTTGTAATTTAAAAACTCTGATTCCACAGCCTGGTTTTTGAGAGATAAACAGAATTAAAAATTTTTCACATCTCTGAGGAGAAGTAAACGGTTTAGAAAATTTTTTTGGCCATGATTGATATAGCTGAATATAGCTATCTTTGGGTCCACATGTCTAAATTATCCTTTTTAATTGGGATTTCAATAGTAAATTGCTGTCTTTTGTCATTTTGTTCCCTAAGCTTTATAATAATTAAGACCAGTAACTAATTTCAAGAGGATAAATTGAATGTCGTTTCTTCCTGAAGGAATAATACTACAAATGCCACGTTGCTGTTTCTTCTGATTTTATTTTGTGACTGACTCGTTAGGAATTCTCTGTGGATTTCCTATGAGCACCAGTTTTCCTATGAGCTGTTCAGTGAGATCCCTTTTTTCCTAAGCATTTCAGATTATTTGGTGAATAGATTCCTTTCATTGTGCAGATAACTCTAAGCCTTTCAGCTGAAGAACAACACATGCAAACATATATTTAGATTAGTAAAAAATAAAAAATGTGGAGACACATGTGTAAGAACTTTCCTGAGATGGGGAATAATATATTTGCATGAAAGCACAGTAACTGGATGTACAGAAAATTGGTTGAATTTGTAAATCATTGATAATATGCATCAGAAGTTATTTAATGCACCCTGAGGGAGGTTTACATTACCCTAAGAATTGGCCTGTTGAATTGGATGGAAGTATAGACATCTTGCTTTCCATATACATGTACTGCATGAATCTCATGGCAATAGTTGCTGTTGTCTGAAGTGAACCTTGACTCAGAATATCAACAAATATAGGACCTCAAAATCTTAAGTATAGGATGTTATATTTCATCTTGCAGGACTCAAAGCCTGAGTCTTTGAGTCAAAGACTAGCAAGATGAAATATTGCGCTGAATCTTAAAGGATAATATGCAAGGGCCTTTATTTGCGTCCTGTAATAAAACAAAAGTGAAAAAGTCTGTGTTCAGGATGAAGGAAATGTGGCTCAGAGGAGTAATTTGTATAAAAAGATGTAATTAAAAGAAAGCACTGAGCTCATTTTTGGTTTTGCTAAGTTGATGTGGCACGCTGTACATGTTAACATTAGGAAAATTGCCAACTAGGTGAGGTGGATGTGAGAGCTCTCCGTACTATATTTGCAACTTTCATGTGAATCTAAAATTTTTCCGAAATAAGTGTATTTAAAAGAAGTAATCATAATGTGATAGGGCCACAGTTGCGTAAAAGGCACACTTAAGCTGTGTTAATGAAAATACTGTAATTCCGAGGAGGGGAGCATGTCCCATTGTATTCTACATGAGGCTTGTGTTCTCTTCTGGGCATGATATATAAACAAAAAGATGTGGACAATTTAGCGTTGTCAGGTTTAAAATGTATTATTTGTAGATTACTTGAAGGAACTGGAGATATTTAGCCCAGAGAAGGTTTAGGCTTGGGTTGTATGCGGAACCAAGAGCAAAATTAGGACCAAGATGGTAGGTGAAGTGAGGAAGATTTCAAGCTAATACCTTCGGAATTTGGTTGCACTGGCCACATGCAGAATGGACTGGTGAGTGCAACCTGACAGGTGGCCGGTTCTTGGCTGCGCTTCACGGGCTCTTGGGAAGCACGTTGCACATGCACGTCCCAGAGCTCGGCGAGACTTACTGAGTCCAAATTTCAGAATCCATACTTTTATTTATTACTTATGTTTAAAAATTTGTCTTTATTGTTGAAAGTATTACAGATGTCCCCTCTCCCGCCCTCATTGCCCCCCTCCACCCCACTCTTCCCTCTTCCCTCTGAGAATAGTCAGTCTGTTGCATGCTTCCATGTTTCTAGATCTATTTTGTTCACCAATTTATTTTATTCATTAGATTCCACATCTGAGTGAGATCATGGGATACTTGCCTTTCTTTGGCTGGCTTATTTTGCTTAGCATAATACTCTCCAGGTCCCTCCATGCTCCCCAGATGATGTTCTTACAACTGGTAGATTGCTAAGCAATGGAATTTGATGATTGCTTGCTAGGATTGTTACAAAGAGATGTAGTATTGAAGAGGCCACCAAGGGTTTTCTATTCTTCTGGTAATATTTCCAGCCGGTGTTTACTTGGGAAACTATATCCAACTTGTCTTAGTGCAACCCTCAAAGCGCTGTTAAGATTTTGATCTTAGTAAACTGGGGAATTATTTCCAAGGTGGCATATAGTTGGTACTCAATAAAGTCTTGAATGAGTACATTTTGGTGGTTAAAAAGTTTCTTTTCAAGAGTTTTTCCCCCCAAAATTGCTTTTTTTGGGGAAAAGTTGGTTAAAAAAAAAGATGCTTTTCAATTTTTTTCCCTTTTCTTTTTTGTTGTTATTAATCCTCACCCAAAGATATTTTTTCCATTGATTTTTAGAGAGAGTAGAAGGGAAGGGTCGAGGGGGGGGAGGAGAGAGAGAGAGAGGTGAGAAAGACACATCGATTAGTTGCCTGGGAATCAAACCCTCAGCCCTTTGGTGTGTGGACCACTTAGCAACACTGGCCAGGACAATTTTTTTCTCTCTTTAATGATATTTTTGTATACCTTGCAATGACTAACAATGCTAGTAGCCTTAACTATTAATTACCTTTAGGTAGCATTTTTATAGTTTACCAAAAAGACCTATTTTTTTTCTTCCAATATCTCTTTTTGATAGAGTGCAAGTATTACTACCCACATATTACATAAATAGAAACTAAAACTCAGAGGTTAAATAACTTGGCCAGTGTTTATATGTTTGATAAGCAGCTGAATTAAATGTGGACCCAGAGTTTTGGACTCTTTCTGCCACAGTTGCCATTTTGAATACAACTTTACCAGGTGCTATGTGAAGCACATCAAAAAGTATTTTTATTCTTTAGTATAAACCTTTTAAACAGGTAGAATTATTTTCATCTTAGAGGTGAAGTGACTTGTGCTCAAAGCTGCATAGATATTTAATAGCAGAGCTAAGAACTCATCCACTAAGGCTTAACAACAGATTCTTTGGTTCCATCCAAGATCTGTGAAATCAGAATTCCTGGCAATGGAGCATCTGAATTTTGAACTTGCTAACCTGGTTGATTTGATTCACACTATGATTGAGAAAGGTATTGACTTAGATCTCACAACTTCTGGAATATATTCCATGATGGAGAGCCACTTCTGTCCTGATTTCCATTGTATCGCAGTATGTAGCACTCACATGCCTTCAACAAATACGTGTTGTGCTAAGTGAATGAGTATTTCATCACTTATTGCTCTATGTAAAAACTATATCTTTGTTCTTTACTCTTATTTTCCCATAATTCTATGTTTCTGAAATATTTCAGTTTTGCTATGGAATTTATTTTGCTTATTAGTTTCTCATCTTAGTTTCATGATTTTGTATTTCCTTGAAGATGGCAGATACTTCAAAGCATGGTTGGGCTATTATGTTCTTTCTAAACTTGTATTCTGTGAGTCCTCGATCTTTTTTGTCTTTGATTTTTTGAAGTCTTATTTTTTTTAGGTTGTTACATATTGTTCACTGTATACAGCTGTTTTCAACTATTAACCTATCAGTGATGATTTTCTTATTTGTTAGGCTGAGTTGCCTTTAGCTGTGATGGCCATTTCTAACCATGAATATATATATACCTAATAAATGTGTATTATCCCTTTAGTTGAAAAATACATCTTCATACTTCTGGGGATACTAGTTTTACCAAAGTCTGTGTTGGCTATTAATTTTTTTAGCTTTATAAATCCTATTTCTTTAATTTTATGAATAGCTTTTTTCATCTTGGTTGTAGATTTATATATTCTACAGTAAATTAAAAGAATTATCTGCCTGTTCTTACATTGGTTGTACCTTCAGATATTTGGCCTATTTTACTTCTCTTTAATACCTGGGATCTTAGTATGTGACTCAAGGTATTTCTTTTTCTCCACTTTATTTGACCAAGATATCTTCTATATTAAAAGTTAAATAGTTTTTTTTTTTAACTAGGTCCTTATAGGATTGGATTTTTCTGGGTGTTTATATGTGGTGCCCACTTGGATGTGTGTCTTTGTATGCTTATATCTATCGGTTAATAAATATTTACTGCGAGTACTATTCAGCATGTTATGAGGAAGCATATACTGTGAAGATAATGATTTTATATGACTCTATAATTTCTGTTGTGTTATTTTTATTGGATGTCTTGTTTGGTTTAAATACTGACTTATAAAGTAAGAATAAGAAATAACAAATCTGCTCTTGAAATTTCATCAATCTTTTTCCTCATAAAGTTAGAATAATTTGGAAATAAAATGGATTCAAGCATCTGGATCATCTAACTAGGCAGACAAAATTAATAGAGAAGGACCAGAACAAGAAAAGAAGAAAGAAATGACAGGTAGCATACATAGCTGATTAATAAAAGTTAGCAGTTATAATCTTGATAATTTTATGGTTGCTAATTGTCATTAGATTCTGCTTTACCTTAATCTTTTTTTAAAAAATTGTTTTCATGTTCTTTTCCCCCCTGCAAGTGACTCATTGTCTGGAGGAAGACATAAAACGAACACACATTCTACTTGCTTTTTCTTTCTGGCCATATCT